TTCCCCGCGCACCCTCCCCTCCCGCCCCGCAGCAGCCCGCGCCCCCCAGCCGTCCACGGGCGGAGGCCCGGGACCCCCGGCCGGCCCGCCCGCGCTCGCTGACACCGAGTGACAGGCCTCGGCATCTTGCTCGCCGTCGCCGCGCGCCCGCTCGCACCGTCGGGTTTCTAGGGCACCCACGCTCCCGAAGCCCCGTTTCCTTCCGAGGCCCTCGGGCCCCGCGGGGGGGATCCGTCGCCCTCGCGTCGGGTTCCGCTCACTGGGGACTCGGGGAGGCGCTGAGGTCCTCCCCCCTGCCGCTCCGGGGGAGGCGAGGCGAGGCGAGGCACCCTCTTCATCACTCTCCCCCTCCTCGGTGTCCCCTCTGACTGAGTGAAGCCCGGCGGGGCCCGTGTGGCCTGCTGCAGGACCAGGGGTCTTTGAAGCCTGAGGGCGAGTTCGGAGCGGTGGAACCGCGTGGGGTTGGCGCGGCGCCAGGCGCTCCCGGGTTCACCTGCAGTTTAATAAGCGGGAGGTGAGCTGGGGGGACGGGTTGGGGGAAGGTTGGAGGGGAGGGGGGAGACTTGCCGGGGCTAGCCGGGGCGGGGAGGCGCCCAGCGCGGGCAGGGGGCGGGACAGCGGCTCCTGGGCTCCAGCAGGGGGCTGGGCTCCGTCCTTCGGCTGCGCGGGAGGCGGCGGCCTTGGCCTTGGGCCTCGTGACACAGTCCTACCTCTATGGCTTCTGCCCCCCATTGCGACACCGCACACCTCATTTCCACTCTCCTTCCTCAGAGGGGACTCTGGGCTTCTGGAAAGAAAACTGCCATCAATCCCACCCCCCTCTGCCAGCCACCGCTGCACCCCTCCCCTACCCCACATCCGGGTTCACTCTCCTCCAGGGTCACTTCCTGATCCATCTTGGCCCATCTCCTCCAGGACTAGCTAAGTTTGAATTCCATGAGGCCACTCTTGGTTGCAGCCAGCCCCTGATCTATTTCCTTCCCTGGTCTCCCTTCTTTTCAATCTATGGCTTGTCCATTGTGGCGTCAGGTGACTTCAGTTTCCCCCAAGTGGAATACCAGAATGCTGACTCCTCTTCCAACCCAGCTGCCAGTGAGGTTCTCTTCAGTGTGGATTCTGCCATGTATATATTTCAGAGACTGCTGGGGGAAGGTGGGAAGGTGGTCCCTTGAGCCTTCCTTAATGCTGTTACTGTCATCTAATTGTCCCGACATCTTCCTGGAGATGGGTTGGGCTGGAGGGATGGGGTTCTGATGAAGGAAAGGGGAAAGGGTGCTTGAACACCTGTAGTGCACAAGCCTGGGAAAGCAGGCCGTGTAACAGTCTTTACCCAGACGAGGAGAGGCTTAAAGGGGCACTGGAGTCCAGGGGGTGTGCAACAGGTGTAGGGGACTTCAGGGGACTAGAGAGGATCAGAAAAAAGCTGTGGGACCCCAGGAGCAGCAATGACCTAAGTGCCAGTGGCACTGGTATGTCCAGCTTTTTGTGCTAAGGACCCAGACAGTTGATGCCTAGGCTAGGTGCTGTTAGAGAGGGAGCTCTTCATTGCGGGGAACAGAGAACCCCTCCTTTGCTCACTCAGGATGTGGGGATGGGATGGAAGAGAGATTTGAGGAAGAGGTGCTGGGGCTGGGCTCAGGCATGGGAGTGAGAGGGGATGAGAGGTTGGGGGAGGCTTGATGGAGGGGAGTGTAGTCGATTCAAAAAGCAGGTCCAGGGAGCTCCCACACAGTTTAGGTACTGCCTTCGCTCAGGTCCAGACCCATTTAGAATGGATGGAAAGAGGGGCATGAGGCTCTGCAGCAAGCCGGGTTCCCAGCCCAGGGGAAACCAGCAGTTTGAGTGTCCTGCCTCTGCTTTCCAAGGCCCTGGCTCTTTCTTCTCCCACCTCACTTTTACATCCATCCTTGGGGAGTCTTGATTTGAGTCTGGGTCTCTTAGGGTATGTGGTGACACTCAGATGGGGAAACTGAGGCAAGGCAATCATATCCCAGGATCACCTAAGAGCCTATTATTCTAATGACACCCAATAAATTAGCCAACATGTATTAAGCACTTGCTGTGTGTCAGGTGCTATTTTAAAGCACTTTATCCATACTTTAGGATCCTCAAATGGTCCCCATGTGGTAGGTCCTATTATTATCCTTATTTTACAAATGAAGCAAAGAGAGGTTGGATAACTTGCCTTTAGTCACACAGCTTGTAAGTGAGCAGCAGAGCCAGAACTCAAATGCAGGCCAGCTGACTTTAGAGCTTGCACCCAAAGCCCTGCTGTACCACCTTCCAAGCTGCAAGGCCAACACAAGCTCCCACCTTGTGCCCAGAAGTGAACTGATGCAGTGGGGGAGTACTCCAAGAAATAAAACCGATATGCGTACACACAGACACACACAAACACCTACTCATGTTTATGCAAACATGTTGTCCCATTCATTGTCACGCTTGAGTGTTTCCACATGCATACAATTCTCTCTTTCTCTCTGCCCAGGCAAACGAGCATGAGCACACACAGATTGTTTGCAAGAAGGGAATGGAGACCAGACCTCTCCCCTTCCCTCCCTCTTTGACTTGAGTGGGCAGGACTCAAGCTTCCCTAACCTCTCCTAGTTCCCACTGGCTCCCAAATCCTCTCTCCTTCACACTCCCCTGTCCTCCAAACCTCCTCTCCCAGGCCCTTCCTGGCTGTTGGCTGCGGCCTGTAGCAGCAGCTGACTCCACTTAGATGCTGGCAGTCCCTGTCCCAGATCAAAGGCAGGGAGGCTAATTGTGTGTCTTAACTAGTTCCCCCCCCCCTGCTCCGGGCAGCCCAGCTGGCCATGGCCCCACCCCGCTCCCCCTCCAGCTGGCCAGATGGCACGGTGCCTGCGTCTGCCCCAGACAGTTGGGGCCAGGACCGAAACTGGGGCCCTGAACGGGAGCTGGGGCAGACTCAGTGGGCTGGACTTCTCTGAGTCCTGGATATTTGGAGCAGAGCGTGACCACACGGGCCTGGTCACCTCTACACGTGGCTGTGACAGCTGTCAGAAGCCACAGATTGGTGTAGGAGAAGGCATCTTTAGCTGCACGGGGTAGGGGTGTTTTCTGCAGGCTGTGGGCTACATTTCTCCAGGCCTACCCTTGAATGTGACAGAGCCTGAAAGATGGTTGCTGGTCCTTCAAAAAACCCTAGAATAGTCTTTTGCTCTTTCATGGTGCCATGTTCAGACAAGGACATAGGAACTGAATATGGGGCTACCTGGGTTTCTTTCTGAGCAGCAGGACTCCCTTAGAGCCAAATGTCCTTCAGCAGAAAGTTGCCAGGCCTGGGAACTGGGAGAGCTGGGTCTGGGTCCAGCTTCATAACCCCTGTGACCTTGGGCTTTCCCCTTTTGCATAATGTGTATGTGTGTTTGGTGGTGGTGGTGGCAGGGGTGATTTCTGAGACCCAGGCTACCTCTGGAGGTCTGAGTATTGCCATGTGTCCTAGGAGCAGGCTGATGACTCCCCCAACAATAAGAGAAGTGCTCAGAGTTCCACAGATAAAAGGCAAGGGATAAATGTAGGGTGTGCTTCCCAAGGACTTGGGTACACCCTCCTTCCCCTTAGGCCCCACCGCCCCAGAGCAGTTTCTACTCCTCTGTGGCTCCTGCCAATTTCCAGTATCCCCTTTGAAGGCTCCAGCTCAATACCCAACCCTCCGGTCTGCTCATATCTGGGCTCCTTATGGAAAGAGGAACTGAGATGCCATGAACTAGAAAGGACAGAGAATAGCAGTCTGCTTCAAGGGCTTCTAATGGCCCAAGTGACTTATCTTAGAATGGCTCATGAGCTGCTGGGCTCTGCCCCTGATCAGGGTGAAACAGACAATGGCCTGGAAATGCAGCAGGAATGAGTGAAGTCAGACAGCAGGAAGAATTTCTTAATAATAGTTAATGTTTACGCAGTACTTACTATGAATAAGGCACTATTCTAATCGCTTTAAATTTACTAACTCATTTAATTCTTGGAACAATAATGAGGCAGGTAATAATAACAACCCTGTTTTACAGATGAGGAAACTGAGGCACGGGGAGTTTAAGTCACTTGGCCAACATCACGTAGCTATTAACAACTAGTAAGTGGAAGAAACAAGATTTAAACCTATGCAATCTGGCTCCAGAAATCAGTTCTTCACTACTAAACATCGTGTGTGTGTGTGTGTGTGTGTGTGTGTGTGTGTGTGTGTCTGGGAAGGGAGACGAGGACAGAGCTCTGTGATGGAGGGAGTGAGGATTAGGTGTAGGATTGGGCCAGGGTCTCTGTCCAGTCCTGGTTGGCTCTCCAGGGTCTGCAAAGCCTCTGAGAACATGTTGTCCCAGTCTTTGATGCCAGAGTGGAAGGAACCAGAGTTTTTGTTTCCTGAATCTCTGGCCTCCTCCAAGGCCATCAGCCTCCTGCCAGGTTCTGGGCTTCTCCCATAGTGGCCATAGTACAGGTGGATTCTCCTTCCTGTGTGAGAGCTGCTCTTGCTCCTGGCCTCTCCCACTGCCTGCCCTCTCTTTGGGGTCCAGAGGCTGGTCAGAGACTGTACCAGACCTACTCCTAGCTGATCCTTTCTCAGACGCAGAATAAGCAAGAAGTAACCTCCAGGTCTGAGAGATGAATCTTCCTCTGCAAGTAGGCCTCCCCTGCCACAGGTTCAGGGCAGTCCCAGAGGATGGCTCTGGCTGGAGCACCAAGAAGGAAGGCAGTGTAGACAAGTCAGTGGCCAGGCAGGCCCAGCCCTGGGCCCCTGAGAGTGCCTTGGTCAGAAAGAGTCTTCGTGCCTTCTGAGCATCCAGTGACAAGTGTCTGCCTCAACTTGCCCTCCCGTCTCAATTTGCAACACTACTATATGCCAGACCCATGCAGGACACTGAACTTACCTCTAGCATCCCTCAAACAACTTCCTCAGCTGACCTAGACAGACCACAGGCAGATTGGCTGTGTGGTGCCCATTTCCGAATGGCTTTCAGGGATGTCCTGTGGGAAAAAAGGGGGAAGCTCTGCTGACTCATTTCTCTGTCTCCGTCTGAGTCTGGCCATCAGGGTGGATCCTGTGCTTGGCCTAAAGTGGGCACACACCAGACCGGGGCAGGGAGCTTTGGGAGCAGATCATCTCCTCTTACTTACCCTCCTGCCCATTGACATCTCCTGGGGCCTAGAATTCTGTCACTGTTAATTTATTCTTTATGTCAAATTTTGCCTTCTTTCTGAAGGCTTATTTTAAAATCACAGATATCACAATGAGAGGTAATAAATTAAGTCCTTGATCTTAAAAAGAATATGTTTACTAGATACTTTCTGCCCAAAGGGAGTTGTAGACACAAATTCTGAGCTTGTTAAGGGTGATGTTAATGAAAAGCATGAGTGAGTGCAAAAAGAAGAGGGCTGTTAAGGAGAAACTCCCCCCCCCCCCCTTTCTGCCCAAAGGGAGTTGTAGACACAAATTCTGAGCTTGTTAAGGGTGATGTTAATGAAAAGCATGAGTGAGTGCAAAAAGAAGAGGGCTGTTAAGGAGAAACCCCCCCCCCCCCCATCCTGTGTGCTGAACATCTGGCTTCTGGTGTTCTGGTGTGACACCTGCCCTTATTTGACTCTGTGTCCTTGTACCAGACCTTCCCCCACACTGGCCCAAAGTTTCTCCTCGGTATGACCAGAAGGTTTGGCAGGGTGGGCAGGGGATTGGGATGTCGGGGCCCCTCTGAGTCCATGTTTTCTGGGTCTCTAACTGCAGGTTTCCGAGAGAGCGCTTTTGCCTATGCCATCGCGGCGGCAGGCGTGGTGCACGCCGTGTCCAACGCTTGCGCCCTGGGCAAACTGCGTGCATGCGGCTGCGACGCTTCCCGGCGCGGGGACGAGGAGGCCTTCCGTAGGAAGCTGCATCGCTTGCAGCTGGACGCGCTGCAGCGCGGTAAGGGCCTGAGCCACGGAGTCCCGGAACACCCGGCCCTGCCCCCTGCCAGCCCCGGCCTGCAGGACTCCTGGGAGTGGGGCGGCTGCAGCCCAGACGTGGGCTTCGGGGAGCGCTTCTCTAAGGACTTTCTGGACTCCCGGGAGCCTCACAGAGACATCCACGCGCGCATGAGGCTCCACAACAACCGAGTCGGGAGGCAGGTGAGAACCCCGCCCCCCTGGCCCGCTGCAAATCCCTTTGCCTAGGGCCCGCCCCTCCCCCAGGCCTACCTGTCTTCTGAGAACCACACTGCTTTCCCTACTCTTCTCCTTGCCCGCTCCTAATTCAGCCAGCAAACATGCATTGAGTATCTACTGAGCGCCAGGCACTGAACTAGGCCTGGGGATACAGGGACGAAACAACCCCTGCCCTGGAAGGGCATAGGACCCCCTAAGAGTAACTTGCTCCTCCCATTTCCTGGGGTGATCACTAGAGAAAAGACTGGGCTGGCAGTCAGGACCTCAGGGGTCTAGGCCTGGCCCTGCCACCCTGTCTCCTTCCCTATAGAGGGAGAAGGTTGAACTAGATCATCCACATCTCCGCTCCCAGCCTTTCTGTGCAGTCTAGAGTGGGAGATTCCTGCACAGTGAGGGGCTAAGTGAGGTTCCTAGGGCCACCGTGGAACTGTTATGGTTGCCTTCCTCCTTTCTCCCCTGCCCTCAAATACCTCAAAGGTCATTCATTAAAAACAAATTAAGTAAATACATAAATAGATAAAAAGGAGAAGATAGAAAGTAATAATAGCTTGCATTTACTGAGGGCTTAATATGTGTTAGGAGCTGTCCTGAGCACTTTACTACATTTAGCCTATTTAATCCTTATAGCTACCCGCGAGGTGGACACTATTATTAACCTCATGTTCAGATGTGGAAACTGAGGCAGATGGACTAAGAAGCTTGCCAAGGTGATACAACTAGTGAGAAAGTGGTAGAGGCAGGATTCATCCCCAGGCAGTTGAGCTCTGAGCCTGTGCTCTTTTGTTCTATAGTGTCAAGTCTACACTAAGGCTTCTCATTGGCCCTCATGGTAGCTCAGCACCCTCCTTTCCTGGCTACTCCATCCCCATCCCTTCTCTTGACCCTGCCAGCCTTTTCAGGCCTTGTCCCTGGCTTCCTCTCATTCTGGCTGGCACCTTCTCCATCTTACTTCCCTTTCTCTAAGCCCACAGTTTCATCTTCTTCCTCCATAAAGACTCTGAGCTGATTCAGCAATTCCCATCTCGTCTTAGAGGCGGGGTAAACTGAGGCACACCCACCCTCAGATCACATCCAGCTCCCACCCAGCCCTGCCCATGCAGCTCTTTTCCCAAGCTTCGATACCATCCCAGCCCATACCAACAGTGTCTCCACCTCCTTCTCCTCGTTAAACTGGTTAATTAATGGCTGCTGCCTGTGGGAAGCAGATGTTCTGGAGCTGTTGGCCTGGGGAGGCATGGTTCTGGTTCCCACGTGATGCTGACACCACAGGCTGCACATAGAAACTGTGGAGCCCTTGAAGATCTGAAGGGGCAGGGTCCCTCTTTTAATGGCCCTACTGCCCAGGTTTGAGGGCTTCAGATCGTGGCTCTCCCTGTCTGCATGTGGTTTTGGAGTGGAATGGGGGAAAGGAGGATGTGACTAACTTCCTGTAGGGGTCTCTGGTGGGGATAATGCCAAGGGGTTCTTTGGGAAGAGACTCTAGAGCAGGTTGAGAGCTGGGTGGGGGTGGGTAGGTTGTATTCCCATAGCCACCTTCCTTGAAGGCCTGGGAACCTCTCTCCACTTTCATTGGGCTGAGAGCGTTGCTCTCTCTGGGTTCCTTTCTGTTCTGTATTCAGATAGAGCTTTGGCCCCTGCTGGTGCTCACTTTTGCTAGGTGGAACCGTGGCACTCAGCATAGGGCAGAATAAGCCCCAGCTAGAAAAATGGGGGTGGGCAATCTCGGTGGCCCCTGTCTGCCTCTCCTTTGTCTTCCCTACAAAAGGCTGTGGGACTGGGAGCTGGGACCTGAGGGCTGGGGTGGACGAGGGCTTTCTCAGACTCACCGCAGCCCCCCACCCCACAGCCTGGAGTGAGGCCAGAGGCTTTGGGGCTGGGATGTAGTAGGGCCGGCACCCACCTGCTCCTGGCCCCTACCCTAGGGATGGAAGGAGAGGGAATTTCCCTGAAGATCTGGGATCCCCCCTCAGGAAGGAAGAGCCTCCAGCCCCAAGGGCCCCCTGCAGCTGCTGGAAAGGCAGGCAGGAGGGGAGGGAGCAGGAAGGAGGGAATTCCCCCAGGGCCTGGCCTGGTACAGGGTGGGGTGGAGGGGAGAGCTGCAGAAGAGCAGCTTCGGGCCTCGGGCCTCGGCGTTCACCTCTGTACAATGGGAGTTGGTTTCAAAAGCCTCTGAGATTCTCGCAGGCCAACCTCAGCGTTGGGAGGAGGACAGTGGGGCTGGTCGCCAGCGTCAGCCCTCATGGTGCTTCCCTCCGCAGGCGGTGATGGAGAACATGCGGCGGAAGTGCAAATGCCATGGCACGTCAGGCAGCTGCCAGCTCAAGACGTGCTGGCAGGTGACGCCCGAGTTCCGCGCCGTAGGGGCTCTGCTGCGCAGCCGCTTCCACCGCGCCACGCTCATCCGTCCGCACAACCGCAACGGCGGCCAGCTGGAGCCCGGCCCCGCCGGGGCACCCTCGCCCGCCCCCGGCGCTCCCGGACCGCGCCGCCGGGCCAGCCCCGCCGACCTGGTCTACTTCGAGAAGTCGCCCGACTTCTGCGAGCATGAGCCGCGCCTGGACTCGGCGGGCACCGTGGGCCGCCTGTGCAACAAGAGCAGCACGGGCCCCGATGGCTGCGGCAGCATGTGCTGCGGCCGCGGCCACAACATCCTGCGCCAGACGCGCAGTGAACGCTGCCACTGCCGCTTCCACTGGTGCTGCTTCGTGGTCTGCGAAGAGTGTCGCATCACCGAGTGGGTCAGCGTCTGCAAGTGAGAGGCCCGGGGTCCCCTGGGCCGCGAGAAGGGATCTCCTCCTTGAGCCTGGCCCTCTGTGGCTTGCGATCTTGGCCCGGCAGCATCTCCTCGGCTCCTGGGAGAGGAGGTTGGACGGCATGATTTTATGGGAACCTCCCAGCTCTGAGGGTCTGCAATCAGGACGCGGGGACAGTCCAGGCCTGTCTGAACCCCGCCAATCACTTCTGTGGCCTGTAGGACTGATTCCCCTCCCTGTCCCTGACCCAAGCTCAGACAGCTCAGCTGATCTAGGACCTGCCCCGCACCCTAGGATAAGTGTCAGCCAGGCAGCTTCTCATCCTGTGTCCTTCATCCTTTCATCCCTTCCCCTGGAGTGGGAGGGAATGAATGGAAGCTGATGGGCCCGGGGGGAACAGGATTAAAAAGAAGAAATGGACATAATTGAGCTGAAGTGATTCTATAAAGGCCCCAGATATTTTCTCCACTGGCCTCTGCCCCTTATCATTCCCCTCATCGTTCATTTAACAAATATTTATTTTGCACTCTCCTCGTGGCACTCTTTGGGGGGATGAGGGGCACTAGGTTTACAGACGTGAATAAGACAGACACAGCACCTGCCTGCTCGGAGTTTACATTCTTGCTGGGGAAGATGGACAATAAACAAGCAAATACACAAAAAGGTCATTTCGGACAATACTTTGTGCTGTGAATAAAGTGGGGTGCTGGCTGTAGAGTGACTTGGGAGTACGGCCGCTTTAGATAAAGCCACTGGTCAAGTAAGGCCTCTCTGAGTTGTGACACTCATGCTGAGACCTGCACGATAAGATGAGAAGAGAGCCCTGCAAAGCTTGTGAGTAAGGGCTTTCCAGGCACAGGCCATGTGGCCACGGGAATGCTAAAGCTCTGAGGTAAGAAAGACCTTTGCCTGTTGGAGGAACAGTGAAGAGGCCATTGTGATTGGAGTCAAGAAATCAAGGGGCAGATCAGCAAGGAGAAGAGCTCGGAGGGTGGGCAAAGGTCACATCTCATGTCTTTCCAGGCCAAGGTAAGGTGTTGGGATTTTATTGAAGAGGAATAGGAACCTTCAGAGAGTTTTAAGCAGGAGGGTGTCATGGTTTGATCCCCATATGGATTGTTGTATGAAGAACTGGCTGAGGGGGACAAGGTGACAGCTGGAAGGCCAGTTAGGAGGCTAAAACCATCTTCCAAACCAGAGATGTGGCCTGGACTGGATGGAAGCAGTGGGAACATTGAGAAAGGGCTGGGTCTGGACCCTTGGTGCCAGAGTTCTAACCGCCCACCTTGTGCCTGAGCCCTCTGCCACAAGCCAGGACGAGTGGCCGTGCCCAGCAGCAACCGTCGGCAGAGACAGGAGGCACTCTGAGAGGAGTAATCCTGGGCAAGACTCAGCTCAACCCAGCCCAGCGCCCCAGGGAGCAGGTGGGGCCAGGAGGTGCGGCTGGGAAGAGAGTGGCGGGGGAGGGCCTGGAGACTCACTGTCTGGATTCTGGTCTCTGAGTCCAGGCAGGAGAGGCAAGGTATGTAAGTAAGACTCAGGAGGGACATCCTTTCTGGGTCTCTTGCCTCCCTTAGGTCAGTAATCCCTCTCCACTCTCATGTCCCTAGGACACTGCTGAGCTGGCAGTTTGGGTCCAGTGTTGCATTCTCCTTGACTCTCAGATCTGATGTTTTCTAAACAGACCCTCAAGGACAAGGGCAGTGAAGGGGGGGGGGGGTATGGGGTTAGGATCTCAGGAAAAGAGCACTTCATGTACTTCATCCAGGCCTCCTGCTGCTCACAGTTGGGGATCCTGCTGGCCTCCTCAGTCTATTCCAGAATGGCACCCCTCTTGATGAATCAGACAAAGTCTTGGTCCTTTCCCCAGTTGTCAGCCTGCACAAATTCCCCAAATTTCCCTACCCCTGTCCCAGGTGTCCCTACCCCTGGGTAGGGGTGAGAAGGAAAGGAGGCACCCTTGTAGGCCCACTAACTAGGAGATTTGCCTCCACGAACTTACTCTCAGCTCCCTCCCCTCCATTCCCTGCATCCCTGATATGCCTAAGGCAGCAGGGCCTTCCAGATGCTCAGCTCTGCTGCCTCTGTGGAAGACAGGCTTTCTCTCACCATCCCCCAGAAGACAGCCCCACAGGCAGGGGGGTGATAGTCCCCCGGGAGGAGGGGTAGGCAGGAGCAGCCAGACACACCTGCCTCATTCCTTTCCTCTTGTTCACCCAGGAGAGAGCTGTGGGGGCTGGGTTCCCTGCCCCCTTCCTCCCTCCCATCCCAGGGAGAAGGAAAGAAGGGGTGGGGAAAATGGAGGGGGGGTTCTCCCACCCAGCAGTGTCCTCTATAGCATTAGTCTTGGCTTCACCCTCCTTTGCCTTCTAGGCTGAAGGAGGACAGAACTGGGGGAGGGGAGACTGAAGATGAGAGGTATAGGATCAGGGTTGGGATAATAATGTAGGGGCAGCAACACTGCACAGTATGCTGCCTCAAGAGGGAGATGTGGGTGGTGGGGTGGGGCAGGGGGCTGGACACTGACTTGTAGGGGAGGAGACATGTTCTAGGGAGTAAAGTCATGGTGATCTGATATTTGCTAGCCTGACCTGTAATGGAGGGGAGGAAAAGTTGGGGAAGGAACAAATAGGGTGTTGGCCATCTCCCCCACCTCCCATCCTCTCTCTCTCTGAGCCAGAAGCTGACTAGCGTTCTGGGACAACAATGGACCCCATAATTGAAGAGGGTGTGTGGGACTTGGTAAGGGCCGTAAACAGAGATGTGGAGATGATGAGGAGTGGGAAAATGGGGCCCGAGAAACCCTGGACTTCTGCATACTGCCTGAAGGGCAAGGCAGGAATTAGTGTGCTGATTGGGAATAGGGAAAATGGGCTGAAATAAAGTGGGAGGGTGGAGTTTAGATGGGAGGAAGAACTTGCCGATAGCTTGGGGAGGACTAGGGGTGAGATTTGGGAATGGGAGCAGAAGGTAGCCAGAGATCACTCATAGGAGGAGAGGACCTCCCCTGCCCCCAACCTCATTCACCTGATGGACAGGTTACCCCCTTGCAGGAGAAAAAAGAGCCTAGATGATCCCAAAAGGAGGGAGGGAACAAACATAGAGGATTGTGGACAGGTCAGCAGGCACTAGTGTGGTTAAGGGTCAGGGAGAGGCAGCCAGGCTGGGGTGGGATCCTGCTTTTCAGTCGCCCAAGGTCCCAGTATCCAAAAAAAAGAGGAGGGGAAAGGCATTTAAAGATAGACTTGGGAGCTTTAGGAGTGCCCTGGAGGGGGAGAAGTGAGGTCAGGGACATTTGGGATCTTCCCCTACTCCGGAATTAATGCGCCCCCCGCTAGCACCCGGTAGGGGGCCTTCCACGTTGGACCATGGCCAGGCCTTAGTCGCTGCCCCCCTCCTCCCCTCCCACCCCCCTTTCTCATGTGGTTGCCGGCAGCTGCCTGCGGTCGCCCCAGCCCCTGAGCTCAAGGCACGGGGACTTTCCAACAGGGGAAAAAATGACTTAATGAGAGTGGGAGCCGGGGGCGGGAGGGACAGGTCCCTGTAATCACAGCTCTGCTGTAGGGCCTGCGCGCCTCCGGGCCCTTCTCCGGCTTCCTGCTGCCAGCGCCCCCATCGGGCTCTGCTGCAGGAGGGGGACGGGCTGACGACAGGGGTATCCCTTTTCAGGTTCCAGGCTCTCTGGGGCCCTCCGGCTGCCTTTGCTCGCCATGAGTGAAAGCTGGGACGCCCCATGATGCCTCTCTGGGCCTTGTCCTTTAAGTTTGGGGGGAAGGTATCTCTCCGGAGCCAGAGTCACCTGCTGGTGGGTTTGAGGGGTAAGGGATCTTGAGGAGAACCCTTTGCCACTTCGCGGCTGCGCACTTGGAAACGCCTCTGGTTGCTGTGGCAACCAGGGCAGCCGAGGTGTGTCCGCGGGGCAGGGAGGCGCCCGCCCCCCGCCCCCCTTCCCCGCCTTTCTCTCCACCCGCAGGGCCAGGCCGGCCGCTGCGGTGCGCGGGGGTGGGGGTGTGCCGTTACCATGGCAAGGGTGCGCTAGGAGGGCACATTCTTCCCCAGGGTGGGAGCGCCCTGGGGATACGAGAAGGGGGGTGACGGGGGCGGCAGAAAAGGGAGCGGGTGGGGGGGGGTCGGGTCAGAACCAGGGAGGAGTCTCGGCCAAAACGAACCAGGGCTTCTAGGGTTGGGGTGGAGAGTTTAGAATCTGCCCCATAACCCCCGACCCGCAGCCCTCCCAAGGCATCCCGTTTCTCCCCCCGCACTCTCGCTGGGGTTCACCCCCTCACACTCCCAGTTTTGCAGAGCTAAGGGGCCCGTCTCCTTCCCTCCCAGTGGAGCTGCAGCCCAGACTGTGGGCCAAAGCCCTGCAATTAAGCCCCTCGCTCGCCCCTGCGCCGCCCTCCGGGTCCTACGCCAGGCGGGTCTGCACCGCCAATTACAGCAGCGCGCAGCAGCCGATTACCCCAGACCCCGGGGAGCGTTCGGGGTGGGGACAGCAGACAAGTCAAGGGGCGGAATCCCTGAGGTTGTCTCTGGTCCTGGGGTCCTTAACTGGAGCTTCGGACTACGAACCTGTAGCCCAACTTCTCCACTCCAAACAATATGGGGAGGTGGAGATCTACTCAGTGCCCCGTCCTGCTGTGCCTCAGTTTCTCTCTCCTTGAATGCACACCGCACCCAAGGCAGAAAAAGCGCAGGGAGGGTCTCTGTGTGTGTGTGGATGTTGGAGCGTCTGGAGTCGAGGGCTGAGTACTCAAAAAGTTCAGTCCTCAAGGCCGGCTTTTACCCGCCGCAGATTGCCGCGTGGGTCTCCCGTGGGCCCCAAGCCCCGCCCGGTTGACCCAGCTCTGTCAGGCTAAGCCAGCCCCAGGGCCGCTGCCAGCCATACTGCACTTCTGTGGGAATCGGAACGGCGCCTCTTCTGGGCAGGAGGCTCTGTCCTTTTGCCACACAAGGGAAGGCTGTACGGGAGCCTGCAGAGCAGCGACGGTGGAGTATTCTGCCACCACCCTTGCCCCCTGCCGTCCCTTCTTCGCTCTTCCTCCTCCTGCAGGTCTGCAGGGGCTCCGGTATAGCTTCGCGCTTCCCGCGGTCCAGCTGGCCACATCTGGCCGACAGCTGGGAGCCGCCCACCGCGAACTGCTGAGGACACAGCTCCCTCTGTCGGTGCGGAGCGGCGGCGCAGCGGCTGGCGGGCCCGGGGTCTCGCTCCAAGTTCGGAGGGTCTCGGATTCCATCCATTCGGTGCCCTTTACCCTTGGGTACTACACGCCCTCTGCCTCGCGTCTCTCCCAAATCTGACTCCACAGGTCCTTTGCTCTTCGTCGGCCGCGGCCGTGCTGACTTTCTTCCGTCCCTGTGTGCTTAAAACCCTGTCCAGCGACCTAGCTGTCCCCTAACCTACCCTCTTCTCTAGTCGTCCAAGCTTCGTCCGCAGGTTCTTCCACGCTCTCTCTCCGCGCTTAATGTAAAAGTCCTAAAATAGGAACATGATTACATAAGTCACTGCCCATTTGCTCAATGGAATTCCTTACCGCGTCCTTAAAAACGAGGTGGCTGAAGTATATTTAGTGACTGAGTCGGTGTTTGCCGTACATTGAGGGAAGGGAGGAGAGTGCAAGATACAAACTAGCACAGGGTAGGATCTATCTCTTACTGCAA